ACTACTATTAAATATATAAAATAGTTTTCTATATAAGGCATTTTATATATAAGAACAATTTTGTAGGTCCTGATAGTATAATTATATAAGAGTGTAACTGTATATTACCTTTTATAATACTTATAAAAGTCCAGAAATAATTGATAAATTTCTAATATATCAATATCAGAAATTATATGTTTTTGACATAGTTTAACTGCTTGAACATATTTGGACCATCCAAGAAGAAATTGTACTAGTAAATGATTTTTTAATAAGAGCAAAGAATGCAAAGTTATCCAATTAGCCCATTCTTTAGCCTTATATCTATTTCGATGTGTGACTATATTTCTTGATGAACATTCAAAATCTGAAGGCATAATTTTTTTTAATTTGGTCATTAAATTTCTAATATCTTTTCAGATGTTTTTTTTGTAATGTATATTCATTATTGTTTAGAGTATCATTCAGATAAAAGCATCTATACCAATGTTGAAACATGTATTTTGGAATATTCTTATAGAGTAGATGCATAATATCAATCACAAAAGAATCAGGAAATTTTATAGAATGCAATTCAAACAGAATACTTCATTTGATAATTTCTTTATTATGAATAAGAATTTAAATTCAAATATAAATATAAATATAAATATAAGCACAGTTATACTCCTATATTATCACACTATTGGGACTGACAAAAAGTAGTTTTATATATATTTAATAATAGTTGTTTAGAAAATCAATGTATTATATAGGTGCTTATATGAGAGTGTGACTATACAAATATACTTGCATGTATATAAAATATTACCAAGTTGTGATTCTAATTTTTTTGATTTTTTTTAAATAATGCATTAGTATTTTCTAATTTTTGAATTGTTAAAGGTATTTACTATATGTTTTTTATAGTAAATTTGCTGGATCATAGATAGTTTTCTTTTTTTTCTTTGGTAGAATAGTTGGATAATAAATATAATTAAAATAAACACCTTGCAATTTACAATATTGACAGCCTTGATACAAATTATATCCAGTAGTACATATAAGTTTAGTTAAAGCTGGTGTGTTATCTGACCAAGAAATGATAAAAACATGAAGAATAAAAATTTCTTGGTTCTTTAATTCATCATAACATTTAACTTCATCTAAAAATATAAGTTATTTTAGTTTAATGATAATTTACTTTTAAGTGAGTATAATATTACCTTCTAATTCCTTTAGTTCATCAACAACGGTCTTAAAAATGTATTTAAATTTTTAGGTTCATTGAGACCAAGAATTATAGCAATTATCAAGAAATTTTGTCATTTTACATAATTTTCAAGAGGGATATTTGCATTTAAAAATAATATAATCCAACAATTATTAGTTTTCTGATGAAATATTTAATATTCATTAAGAGATCCAACTAATGCAATGTCTCAATAATCAGAAAAATATCTATTTTCTACTAAATCTTTATATTATTCAGCATCAAATATATTACCATATTTATTTTTATTATATTTAAGGTGTGTTGTATAATTATATCAATATTGCAGCTTTTTTGATCAGATAGAATCAGCATATTGAAGTATAAACTGATCTTTAAATGAAAAAAATGATATTTTTTTTTGACTATTTTCATTTTTATAATGTGGCTTACCACAATAATAACATAATTTTGCTTTTCTAAACTTGCCTATAAAGGCTATACAACTCTTTATACATATGTCAATCCATCTAAACTCAATCTGAACTATACTAGTAAGTATATTTGTTACTTTGTGTTGGCTAATTTGTTCATTACTAAATTCTGTCATTACTTGTTGATAAACATTATTAGCCATATTTGACCAAACTTTGATATTTAGTAATCATAATACTTCTGAATATCCTGGTAAAAGTTGATCTTTTAAATATATAGTTAGTGTAAAATAGATATTAATTATTTGCTCAAAACAAAATTCTAATTTATATACAATTATCGTTAAACTCTGTATTAGATATCAAATCATCAATAAAAGTTGTATCATTAGTCAGGTCACATTGTTAGTTGAGGTTGCATTGTCAATCAAGATTGCATTAGAAAATATTGTATCTTCAACTTAAACATTATTAAATAATTTTGGATCTTGTCTATTATTAAAGATAAATTAGTGCTAGAAATAGTATTCATATTTTTGAAAATTAATAACTTCAAAAATATATATATACTTTTTATATAAATCAATATTAGTAGCTTCTTAATTGCTTACTAAAATTAGCCTTTCTTCAAGTATTTCGAATTTTGATTCTTTTTTTTTTAATAAATTATCTTTTAATTTGTGCTGATATCAAGTTGTTCTATGTATCAATCTGTAGCCACTAGGGCCAAGCTAACAAATTCTGCAAGTATATTTTATTACTTTTTTGTCTTTGTTATGCATTTTTTTTTTGTTTGAAATTCAAAAATCGATATTTAAATTTTATTTTGTAAAAGCATAAGTATATTAATTACACTAATAAGTGTATATTAAATAATACTGATTATGAATATAATTTGAATCTCACTAAAGATAAATTTGATCTGATCAATATTTAATTAATTTTGAACTTTTCCAAACATATGCTCTTATTTTTATATGTTGAAAACAGACTATATACTAATAGTCTTATCTAATTTATTATTATTATTAGAATTATATCAAAAAATAAAGGCAAAGATAAAGCTGTTAGTGACAATGATAATAATTATATTAAGAATGAAGACTTTCTGAGGCTTTTTAATATGAAAGAGCAGACCAGTGCTTATTCTAGTAATATAGACACTAAAGAAAACTTTGAAGTTTATTATCAAGAAGAACTTGAGAAAATCTATATACTTGAAAAGCAAATAGAACAGATGCATTGTAATATAAATAAGGAAAGAAGCAATAGTCAAATTCAGAACATAAATCTAATAGCAAAAAATCAAATAAAATTAACTGCTTAGAATAATAAGAAATCAGCAAACAAATTTAATATAAAGCTGGTAACTCAAGACAATATAAAATTGGCAACAAAATATAGTATCAAGTATTCTATTAAACCTACAACTACTACTCATGTAAAGTTGCCTAAGGACAATTCTAAGTTAGTTGCTAAAAGACGATCAGGTGATATAGACTGGTCTTCAAGTGATTCTGAACAGGTATCAATCTTAACAATTTCTTGCATACTGTATTAAATTTTTATTACTTTTTAAACCTGATAATTTTATTATCAAGCTTATTTCTAAAGTAAATGAATATAATTACTATAAAATTTTATAGATTTTGCATCTCAAACTAGAAGAATATTTTTTATATTTGGTAAATAATATTGCATTTATTTTAAATAATTTAACTCTAATAATTTATTTTATAGGATGCTTTAAGAAATTGTGCATGCAAAATGTTAAAACATTGTGACAATGCTACATATCATTATACAGATCCAAAACTTATTGAATCTGTTATTGAAAAGGTATACAGTATTTAACAAATTTGTTAAAAATTTATTATATACACTAAGTTTACTAATTATATACTTATTATAATCATTTAGTTTAAGGAAAATAATTAATCTTTTCTAAAAACAATTAGTGACTGGGCGATATATAAAATGTTGTAGCAGATAATTAATAACTGTCATAAGTAGTTATCATAATTGAAAATGCACTAACAAAATATTTATTAATGTGAGTGATACAAACCCAGAAATGTACCAATTTAGATAATTCCTAATCTTCTATTATTAGATTATGCAAAGTTTATTTTTTGTTTTGTATAACCTGTTCTTTTTTTTTAATATCACCATTTTTAGCTAGATATTCTAAAATTATTGAATAGGACCAACCAACCAGATCCAAGTTTCATATGTTATGCTATAAAAATAAAAAATTAACTTTGCATGATTCTTATGATTGATTTGCTTTTTTTTAACATCTGTTTCTCAGTTATTTATATCAATTGAGTTCAAATTTTATAGACAATTCATAGAAAAGATGAATAAAAAAGATAAACAAAAACTACTGAATATTATCAGAAATATATTAACTGGAATATATCTAAAAAAAAAATGAACAATACTATTAAAATAGATTCAGAATCAAAAAAAAATAAGCATAAGACTTTAGAAATTCTCTGAGATAGGTGAATTATAGGTCAGATAAGTTAATATAAAATATACAATAGAATTTTGATGCTAAATATATGAAGACATAAATGAAATGCTTGTTCTTATTTATGATTTATGGCTAACAGATTAATATTATTAATTTATAAGCATAGTGCATCTCTATAAATAATAATTTATTATTGTGATTATTAATACAAAATTTTATATTAAATCTAATTAGATGAATATTTATGCAAATCTGTTTAAAACAAATTAGCCATAAAAGGATCAAAAGGCAAACCAAAAATGTTAGTCAATGTACATGAAAGAAAAAAACTTTCTTTAAGTGAAGGTGTTTCAAATAACAATAATGGTGATAATGGACATATTCTAAGTAATAACAATAAGCAGATTTCAAATCATGATGATGAGCAAATCTCATATTATAATGATGAGCAAATCTCAAACCATGATGATGAGCCAACCTTGAATAACAACAATGTCTCTAATTCCAATCAAGATGACCAAGAACAAGAGAATAGAAGTTTAGAAAAAATGAATGCCAAGTTGTTATAAAAAATGAATGAAAATGAAATAATATTAAGTTAACCAAAAAAGAACTTAAGGATTCAAGTAACAATATTATCAACACAAAACCTATTTTTGGATTTACTGATATAATTAATGGATTGTTTATTATAGCTAATATAACATTTCTAAATTTATTATTATTTAGATTATGATCAACCAATTAAAATAAAGAATAAATTAGCCAAAGAACCAAAAAACATTGTTGCTAATAAAGAACAAGTCCAAACTTGTCATTCTTCTTGAAAACATTTAATTAACAAAAAAACTAAGTAAATTGGTTTTTTCTTAATTATAGTTAAGCAAAAATTATTTTTATATGCATAGTAGATTAAATTACATGTATATGCTCTATATACTTTCAATTAGATTTGCTATATATTTGAAATAATAGATAAATTATATATGTATTGAACAATTATTATATAAATATAATAAATTAAATTTATATTTGCAAAATATTATTAACATACAGTATAAATACTATTGATATTTTATATTTGTAGAATATTATTTATATAAATATAGCATAAATATTATAGATATTTTGTATATTTGTAGAATGTTATTTATATAAATATAGTATAAATATTATAGATATTTTATATAATGTTTAAATAAATTTATAAATTAAATTTATATTTACAAAATATTAACTATACAAATACAGTATAAATACTATTAATATTCTATATAAATTTTAAATAAATTTATACTGAAATGTTGCAGTTTTAATATAAATTCAGTATAAATTATATTAATAAATTTTATAATATAAATATTAAACATATTTGGAATAAAAATTTTTTATTAGGATGTATAATATTACACTTGGCATAAATGCTTTGAGCTCCTATTCAAGATAGTGTGATTTAAGGTTACAGATACACAAATCCAACTAATCATCAAGAAACAGTTTGTCATAATACAAGTTAATTTTCAAATTTCATCATAGGTGGGATTTGAACCTTAAACCTGCCACTTGGAAGATAACAATCCAACCACTACACTAGGATCACCATCCTCTAAAATATGAGTTTATTACATGAAAATTTGAGTTTATTATATCAAAATTTGAGTTTATTACATTAATCATTAATAATTTATATAATAAATTCAAATTTTAGTGTAATAAATTTAAATTTTTATGTAATAAACTCAAATTTTTAAAACCAATTTTAATTTTTACTGCTATGCTCTTGTAGAGTTTACCCCAACTCTGGTACTAACTTTACAACATATTTCTACTACTTTGATATTCAATTCAAGTTTTATCAAACTGCCAATCCAGATAGCCTAAAAAAGTAGTTTATAACTATATACCTCTGGTTTACATGTTCTCTGACATGTACTTTTTTTTTCTAAAATCTGAAAATTATAATGGCCTGGTTGGTTTATCTGATTCCTTTTCAAAGATCAGCACATTTGCTTAGCTTTATAAGTTCTAGCTCTATTTTATAGATCTAGTCTTTATAATAGTATCATCAAAAGTTCAAATTATCTTTCTACTTAGGTCTTCTAAATAGGCTTTCATCTTCTTAGTTCTTGTGATTTATATAACTATAGGAACTTATTATAGGTTTACATCATCTAGTACCAATTTGTGTTTTTTTATACAAAATACAACTATTATATGAATGCTATATGACTTTTTAGTCAGACTAATATAATATAAGTAACAGATATCTGATCCTAACCAATAGTAGAAGATAGTTAACTATAACACAGAAAGAATTTTTTAATTTTTACCAATATTGAGATTTAAACTCTAGACTTGCCACTTGGGGGTTAACAATCTAATCACTTCACTAAGTCATTATATCTTCTTATATTTCAAAATTTATAGCTTAAACTTCTAAATATAACTTATTATCAAACTCTATTTTACTTCTATTATGTTTTCTTTAATTCAATTCTAATAGTTCAAAAATAAACTTTTAGTATATCTAATACTTTACAGAAACTTAATTTTTTACTAAATATAATAATTATATAATAATTATATTAAGATTATATAATTATAATATTATAAATATATAATAAAATAAATATATAATAAATATATAATAAAAATATAATAAAAATA